TGCGCAGAAATCCATGTTCAGAAATGTTCGCATTACCTTGTCCCATCCATTATCCATCTGCAAACTACACATGTACATGCACCCCTTAACTGGCTATTCGGCCGCAGGAATACCCTCCATTGTTACCCCCCACCCTAATCATGCTCCCCTAACCCCTCACCCCACGGGACACGGCATGTCCTTTGCACTATTCATTGTCATGCAAAGTCTCTCACTTGCAACACACTCATATATTATCTATAAATTTTCCCTAACAAAACCAAGCCATGTCGTTTTAGTCAGTCTTGCCTCAATGAAATGCCGACTGTGTGGCTCCAGCTAGGATCGCATTATAGCGCTCTGAATATTGTTATATGCTACTACAAAATTCTCTCGGCCGTCCATAATATGACCTGGTGAACTGTAAGAAATATATTCCCCATACATAATTCATACAGGACCATTTTTTAACTTCCTCTTAATTTGCTGACATGTTAATATTTTCGTAGAAATTATCGCTCCTGTTTTTACGTGTATCTGGATAATCTTTTAATATATAACTTCTAGAGGCGCTTTTATACATTTGTTTCTGCTTTGAATTTAACTTTAAATTTAAATAATGGAATTTACTGAAACATTCATTGAAGGAAATATTCGTTCACGTAAAATTTATCAAGATCGATGTTCTATTTTTCCCTTTTACAAGTGAAATTTCGTCCTCGTGTCCATTGTGCAAGTTTACACTCAGAATTTATAATTACAAAATAAAATCAATATTTTATTCCAGTAAATTGTTAGAAAATGATTCTAATCACCCGCAGAATTTAATCAGGCATTGTGCCTCGAATGCCCAATTCACTCAAACATATGGTTAAAATTTGTTCAAAATATATATCATAGGTGCTTGTGTGGAAATGATACTCTCACTCAGCAATTAAATCAAAAAGAACGATTGCAGCATACTTATATAATATTTGTAAAATTCACATATATTCGAAATACTCTCACATAATATTTGTAATACTCACATATTCGAAATGCTCTCACATGATACTTGTAATACTCACATATTCGTAATACTCTCACATGATATTTGTAATACTCACATATTCGAAATATTCTCACATAATATTTGTAATACTCACATATTCGAAATACTCTCACATGATACTTGTAATACTCACATATTCGAAATACTCTCACATAATATTTGTAATACTCACATATTCGTAATACTCTCACATGATATTTGAAAATTATCGAATACCTCAACTTTATTTATGGGATGTACCGCATACTGTCAGTCGTTAATGATTTTATGGATGCTCGAAGGTAATAATGATACTGTAGTCCAATAGTTGTGATCATTTCAAAGGTATAAAATACCTACATTTATTATTTTAAACTATAATTTAAACGTAGGTCAGTCAATATTCATACCTAGCAAGCTATTTATGAGCGACGTCAAACATCCTGTACAACATTAACAGCAAATAAATAGTAATTCCTTGTATATGCTTCAACTGAATAATTTGCTTTCTCTCTCAGCTCCATAAATAATCGAACTCTTTAAATCTGAGTCCCAAAATGCATCTTCTTTTATTTTTTAACTTACAAGATCAATAATATTCGAATACCTTCAAATCTTCGCCCCTAAGCAGCACCGATTTTTCAGTTTAAATCAGAGCCGAGTTTAATACGTTGTTGTGAGCCCTAAAACGTCGAACAATCTGCCTCAGTGATCAGTCAACAAATGCCTACCACGACACCAACCAATGAAATTTGCTTTAAAAATCGAGCAAGAGATGCAGAGGCGGATAAGATCTCTTTTGAGATACCTGGTCCCACTTGAAAATTACAGCGGGCGTGTAAGTAGCCGATATAGTTGGCCATTTCAAGGCTCCCTATTTGCTTGCCATGATTTTTAGCAAGGACGAGCATGGCTTGGGCTCGGTCAGAATCACAAGCCCCCGTTGACACTTGTTTTTTAACACCGCCCATATATCCTGAGCACACAATTTTCCTTTCGATATTCCGCCTTATCTCTGAACATTGGTTTTCTCGCTGGCCGAGTTCAATTGTGAGTGGCGACGATTTGTGACAAGGAGTCGCTTATTAATTGTGTTTAAGCTCTGAATGGCAATCGTTTCTTCGCCATGGAAAATATGTGCTCGATTATTACACATCCACTCTGTTATTACTGAGCCCAAAGAAATAAACCGGTGTTTGGCGTTTCACATCTTGAACTCTCGTTGGAAACTGTTGGTGTAGAGCTGATACTACAGATAAAAATAAGTGTTCTTTATCTTTATTATTATAAAATAATCCGTAACCGAGCTGCTGTTCCAGTATCCAGTACATTATCCGCACTAGTATTTAACGTGGATGCACATATTAGCAGCAGCACCATCAGCAGCAGCCGTAAAAATTATCTGCAGCAGTATTTACCGCAGCTGTTCATATCAGTGGTATCAGCTGTGCATATCAGTGGTAGCAGCTGTACATATGAGCAGCAGCAGCTGTATATATCATTGGCAGCAACCGTACACATATTAGCTGAAGCATCTGTACATATGAGCAGCAGCAGCAGCTGTACACATGAGCAGCAGCAGCTGTACATCACTTTGCCAGGCAGAGATCTGCTTAAATATTAAACACTTTGCCAGGCAGAGATACATATGCTTTTATATTGAACACTTTGCCAGGCAGAGATCTGCTTTAATATTTAATACTTTGCCGAACAAATATTTGTTTTATTTTTGAAGACTTTCCTAGGTAGACATCTGCTTTAATATTATGAACAATTTGCCAGACAGTAATCATTTATGGCACATAACATTTAGGGAAGAAAAGACTTGCATTAAAACAGAGCACTTCTATAGCTTCTACCAGGTCAGAGACCTGCTTTAATACTGATCACGTTTCTTTTGATCTTGCAGGAGATTTAAATACTTTATTTTTATCCTCCAATATATTTTAGTTTCCGTATCTTCTTCATTCAAAGCTCGTTTGGTTGAAAATGGCATTGTCCTACAATAATGAGATTTGTGCAGCAATTACATTGAAAGAAATTTTAATTTCTTGCATATGATAGTTGAGGTAATGGCAAGCAATTTATGAGGATGGCAAATAATATTAAGAAAAATTTGATGGTTTTGGAGGAAATATGAATTTGGTAACACGTACGTGCAAGATTTGAAGACAGTTATTTTGTTCCTTATAGTAGATAAATCTTAATATAACATGTCTATACACAGACGGTAATATAGAAGAAATATGAAATTGGTAACACGCGTAAGATTTGAATCTAAAAAAAAAAAACGATTTGAAGGCAGTTATTTTCTTATTTATTGTAGATAAATCTCAATATAACATGTTTTTAAACAGACGACAATATGTCAGTTATTTGTGCACAAGAGGTATCACATAGCAGCGCATGCCATTTCTGTCGACAAGCCTCAGGGACCAAAACTGGCCTTCACAAATCCCAATAAAATCTTGTATGTCCGACCACCGGCCGCTATATGGCCACCAGAAATACGCGTATGATTATTCAGTGTTGAATAAGTCCATCATAAATCAATCAATGTTCATATGATGCCGAACGTCAGCCAACAAATGACGGGTGATAATTCGGCCCTGACTCGGCCGTGGCCGCGCGCTAGGAGGCGCCATAAAAATCGGCTTACCTGAAAATACAAGAAGCCTTCGTGTCCCCAAAGTCGGACGACGCCTGCGCTGGAATATTCTAGGAAACTTCGTAGGAATAGCATTGGGAAAACCAGGTGAATTTTTAGCCTCCGGCATCCGCGATCACTTGGAGGTTGGAGGAACACATAGAGACAAGTGGATGAATTTGTAGGCTTTCGTTTTAAAGTTTCAACTTATAATATAAGTAGGATTAGCTTAGGAATATGTGGATGTATTGTGGGCTCTTCGTCGACAGATTAACGTATAATTCAGGTAAGAATAGCATTGAAAAACGTGGGTAAATGAGACTTTAAAAGAAGTACACGAGAAAACTGTCGATAATATGTCCTTAGACAGCATCACGGAGGGTTAATAAAACTTGCAGGTCCCGTTTGAACAATTTCTTTCCTTTTCATTCCTTTTTCTTCAACGGTGATTGTTAAATGCTCAAATATTTCTGTTTTTATGATCCTTTACTTTCACTTACCTTGCAGAAAATTAAAACAAGCCGCAATTCATCAAGTGTTTATTAATACATTTTAGTATTAATTTTGAGTAATAATTGAAATATATTAATTTTTCCCGCAGTGCATCCCACTGAGCGTGAACAACAACAACTCGAGCAGCAACAACAACACCACGTGTTCCAGCAACAACAACAACAACAGTTCTACAACAGCCCCCCTCTTGGGGGTGGAGGCCACGTCAGGAGGAGGGGTGGGGGGCATGAGGAGTGTCGTGGGGGGAGGGGATGCGTGCGCCGGGGGCGCGTCTGAGAACTGCGCTGGATGCGCGCGCATCATCACTGATAGGTGCGAGACAAAGCTTTGTGTTTGAAAAAATCATTAAATATATATATTTTAATGCATAGAAATTGACCTAATTCAAGCTTTTAGCTAACCACTAACTAACTAATTTTGCCAGGAAGTGCTATAGATTGCGGATTGAACTCAATGGGAATGACGTTTAAAAATCTAGTTTACTGACTGAAATCGTAGAAAAAACGGTGGTTCAACGTTATTTTAACGTCAATGCCTAGTGAACTGCAACATATTGCTTAAATCAATATGAGAACTCTGCATCATATTCTAAAATGATAGATTGAACGATTATACACAGACTAATGTATATTTATATATTGAAGGTATGTTCGACGAATTTAATTGAGAATTCACTTATAAATTGACAGGTTTTTGCTGCGCGTGAACTGCTTGTCGTGGCACCAGAGCTGCCTGCGCTGCTGCGTGTGTCAGCTCGCGCTGGACCGCCAGCCTTCCTGCTTCATCAGGGACCACAACGTCTACTGCAAGTCTGACTACTCCAGGTGCGTTATCAGGGACCACATCAGGGACCACAACGTCTACTGCAAGTCTGACTACTCCAGGTGCGTTATCAGGGACCACATCAGGGACCACAACTTCTGTTGAGGTCTCGATTATCATTGTAACTCTATTACAAATGCAGGAACAGATGAACCTAAATATCCTTGCGGATTTCAGCTCAAACAATGCGTAATTTTGTTCATGGCAAAGTTCTTTATGCTACAGAATCATGAAGGTTTTTAAGAGATTCTCGTTCTTCTTGAGAGATTCGACGGGTTCTTGGAAAATTCATGACAATTCCTAAAAGATTGACGAAGGTTCTAAAGAAATTCTCGCCGTTTGAGATTTTTCAAGAGATTTTTGCCTTTTTATTATAAGAATCTCGCTGTTTTGTACGAGATTTTCTACCGTATCTTAAGAATTATAGATTATTCTTTTGAGCTTAACGTTGTCGTGACGACTGAGAAGGAATAGATCGCAGGAGGTGGGGGGATCGAGCCCCTCTGAGACCGCTAGGGGCGCCTCCCCCCCGGCCTCTCATTACCGAGCGCTTCCGACCCACTGACTTCAGGGGTCGGTGGGGGGGGTGAGATCTGGGGTGAGATGGTGGGGTGAGATGGTGGGGTGAGATGGTGGGGTGAGATGGTGGGGTGAGATGGTGGGGTGAGATGGTGGGGTGAGATGGTGGGGTGAGATGGTGGGGTGAGATGGTGGGGTGAGATGGTGGGGTGAGATGGTGGGGTG